TTTGGCTGTTACATCGGAGAGGTCTGAAATTGCTTGGGCTGCAAATCTATTTTTGCAGTGTTTTTTTTTCGACATTATATGTTGTCAGGAAGCTCTACGAGTCCCCCGGCGGTAACGAAGGTTGACGGTTTACCGCCGGCGCCCAGTAGGCCGACCCGGCCAGAAAGGAGAAAGTGGTAAGTACCTCGTAGAGCTCTTCGAGCTCCGAACTCTGTCTGCTGCCCGAACTAGGTCCGCGAAACTATTCGTATTGTTCGAGTCATCCTGAGAGGTGCTGTCGGTTTCCTGCACTTAACTCGGGCTGTAGGGGGGCTGCAGGGCTGGTCATCTTGAGAGGTGCTGTCGATTTACGCACGTAGCTCGGGCTGTAGGAGAGCTACAGAGCTCGTGCAGAAGACAATCCAGAAGCATCGGGGGCGTTCGGCTGTTACATCGGAGAGGTCTGAAATTGCTTGGGCTGAACAACTATTTGTTGGGTGTAATTTTTTTCGACATTATATGTTGTCGGGAAGCTCTACGAGTCCCCCGGCGGTAACGAAGGTTGACGGTTTACCGCCGGTGCCCAGTGGTAAGTACCTCGCAGAGCTCTTCGGCATCGATGAGCTAGAGGAATTCCGGCGCGGGGTGGAGCTAGTTGGTCGACCCGACCAGAAAAGAAGATGTGATAACTTTGGGTGGGTTTTGCGAATTTTTGAAAGATATTTAAGAATTCGTTTTGGACAAGCAGATTTTGACTCCGAGCATTAGTATCTAACATATTTTCTGCAAGCAGCTCAGCTCTCTGGAGGGAGTTTTACTATCCAAACATTTGGAGGAACTGAGATAATGTGGTGTGTTTCTGGAAATGCTATGAGGAGCTGTCTGCTTTACATCTAAGCACTCTTACGCGTGCAAGGAGCTCTACGAGGTTCCCGGCGGTGACCAGGTTGACGGTTCACCGCCGGCGCCAGTTTTGCGTGGTTTTGCGAAAAATAGAAAGATATTTCATGATTTATTTTGAGAAAGCAGATTTTTTGCACTTGTAAACGACTATAAGGGCCTCTCTGTGTTAGTATGAGCTCCGTTGGCGCACTTTTACTATCAAAACACTTGGGGGAACCATCTTCATGTCGAAACGAAAAAAAAACAATTTTCCTCGCTTTCGAGAAATGCTTCCAGAAGCTCTCCTTTTCGACTCTGAGCGCTCTTACGCGTGAAAAGAGCTCTAGGAGGTTCCGGGCGGTGACCAGGTTGGTTTACCGCCGGCGCCAGTTAGACGCTACCAAGTAACTCGTAGAGCTGCCCTTAGCAAGTTATTGCTGGAAGCTTCAGAGTAATTCGGGGGCGCTGGAGAGCTAATTGGCAAGACAAATCTCGACAGATCTTTTGGTAACTTTTGGTCGGTTGAAAATTTTGTCCTCAAAATTCCTCAATTCGTTTGAGCTCTAGTATTTTTTCCCGTGATATTCGATCTTATTCCCTTCTCGGGAAAAAACTCCAAAGAACAACTAGTTTTTCAGCCCAAGCGATTTCAGACCTCTAAAGATGACTCTAACTAAAAAACAAACAGTTTCGCAACCCAGTTCGAGTATCGAACCGAGTTCAGACCTCTGAATGCGACAGGCGGGCGCGTCTGATGTCTGCGAATCCACTCATGTGATTCCCAGCCCTGCAGCTCCCCTACAGCCCGAGCTGAGTGCAGAAAACCGACAGTATCGACTCGAATGATAGAATAGTTTCGCGGACCTAGTTCGAGCAGCAGACCGAGTTCCGAGCTCTGGAATCGACCAACAGACGCGCCTGATGTGTGTAAATCGATATCTGTGACCCGCAGCACTGCAGCCCTCCCCCAGCACGAGTTGAGTGCAGAAATCGAGAGCACTTCTCAAGATCATTCGGACAATACGAATAGTTAGCTCGGGCAGCAGGCCGAGTTCAGAGCTCTCGATTGAATAGACGAACGCGACTGATGGTTCCCATCGATGTCTGTGACAATGATCGCTGTAGCTGCCCTACAGCTCGACTTAAGTACAGAAAACCGAGAGCGTCTTTCAAGGCGACTCAACTAATACGAATAGGTTTCCGGACCTAGCTCGGCTAGCAGACCGAGTTATCACCTCTGGATGCAACAGACCAACGCGCCTGGTATTTTTTCCCGTGATATTCGATCTTATTCCCGCTCGCCATCTTGATCTCAGCTCGATCGGGTACTTTTTACTGCCAAAAAGCGTCCCGGCGGGAACGGCCGTTTCGAGTCATCTTGATACGCGTTGTCGGTATTTTCTTCTTAACTCGAGCTGTAGGGCAGCTACAGAGCTGGTAGGTACACCTATCGCATCCAGAATCACCAGGCGCGTTCGTCTGTTGAATCCAGAGGTCTGAACTCGGTCTGCCAGCGGAGCTAGGTCCGCAAACCTATTCGTATTATTCGAGTCGTCTTGAGAGACGCTCTCGGTTTTCTGTTCTGAACTCGAGCTGTAGGGCAGCTACAGAGCTGGTCAGCACATCCATCGTATTCAGAATTATCAGGCGCGTTTGCCTGTTGAATTCAGAGGTCTGAACTCGGTCTGCTAGCCGAGCTAGGCCCGCAAACCTATTCGTATCAGTCAAGTCGTCTTGACAGACGGTCTCGGTTTTCTGTATTTAACTCGAGCGGCAGGGCAGCTAGAGAGCTGGCAAGCACACGTATCGCATTCAGAATTGGGAGCGCTTCGGAACGAGCCGGGAGCGCTTGGGAGCGCCGGGGAGCGCCTCGGAGCGCCTGTGAGCGCTTCGGAGCGCCTGGGAGCGCCTGGGAGCGCCTGGGAGCGCTTGGGAGCGCTTGGAACGCATTTGGAATTTAGGGCCAACGGCCCTAAACCCTAAAAGGCTGTAGTTTGGGAGGTTGCCGGCCATGCGGCCGGGGGTGGGAAGATGTTGCACCTCCTGCCCCCTTCGCCAAGATTGCTCGGGTCGGCTAACCGCTCCCCCAATCAAGCTTGCCGAAGGGGGGGCAGCACTGCCTGGACTGTCGGCCGCTGCGCTAAGTGAAGCCCTAAATCCCTAATCCTTATATTTAATAAACCCTAAAGCTTGTTAAATCGGTCGCTATGCATTCCGGGCTCCATCCCTTGCAAAAAAAATATGTCCTGATCATGCGATCAGAAAACCTTATTCTTAACAATACATTTTGCCCAGTCCCGGTCGCGTCCCCGGCTCATCCCTTGCAAAAAATAGTATATCCTGAGCATGCGATCAGAAAACATTGTGTTTTACAATGCAAAGTGTCCGGCCCCGGTTGCGACCGGGTATGTATACCGGAGTTTTATATTGTAAAAAATATTACAAACTTGGGACCGCGGGGACGGGCAAGTCTCGCACGGTCAGGAGCTTCGTGGCCAAGAGGCGCTCCCAGGCGCGAGCGCGCGCCCTCGCTCGGAGGGGGGGCGGGCGGCCGGCCGACGCGGAGGTGGAGGTGCGGGCGAAGAACGCGTGCCTGCTGGCGGCGCCGACGGGCTGTGCCTCGTTCCAGCTCAAGTTCGGGGCGACGACGCTGCATCGCGCGTTCGGGGTGCCGGTGGGGCACTGCGGGCCTTGGAGTGCCGGTGCCCGGGGGGGGAAGCGGTACGCGCGCCTCAAGCAGCGTCTGAGGGGGGCCGACCTGCTGCTGCTGGACGAGCTCAGCATGATCGGCCGGGGCATGCTCGGCAAGATCGAGTTCAAGGTCCGCGACACGCTGAAGGGGGAGGAGGGGCGCGCGGTGGTCCGGGAGGGCGCGGCTGCGTTCTTGCTGGGGCGCGACGCGGTGCTGGCGGGGGATATGAAGCAGGCGCCGCCGATCGGGGACGATCCGCTCGATCGCTTCGGGGCGTACCAGGGGGCGGGCCAGAACAAGCCCAGGGGAGCGGCGGTTACGCCCTCGGATGCGTGGTCGTCGTTCCGGCTGCACGCGGTGGGGGGGGGGCGTCCGGGACACGTTCGAGGACGTGGCGTTCCTGCGGCGGGTGTGGCGGTACGCGGATGAGCGGGACGACGTTCCGGCAGAGAGGCGGGAGCTCTATCGGCGGGAGGCGGCGCGGTTCCTGGAGGTGACGCGGGGCATGGCGGAGTGCGCGTGGACGGCCGCTGACCACGCGTGGCTGGCGCAGCGGAACCGCAGTCGGCTCCAGCAGACTGCGGAGGGCCGCGCCGAGCTGGCGCGCTTCGAGGACGCCCCGATCCTCATGGACGGCAGGGTGGACAGGGCCACGGGCGAGGTGGGGGCCAACAAGATCAACTTGTTGAAGTTGGAGAAGGTGTCGGCGAGGACGGGAAAGCCCATTGCGCGCCTGCACGCGTTCCACGACACGCCGGAGGGCCTGGAGCACCCAGAGGGGCTGGACGCCGACGACTTCAGGGGGATCCAGAACGACATCTTCGTGTGCGAGGGGGCGCGGGTGCTGCTGACGGAGAACCTGCGGGTGGAGGCGGGGCTGATGAACGGTGCCATGGGGACGGTGGTAGGGTACATGTGGCCGGAGAACGCGGACCCTCACGACGGCGATCGGGCCCACAAGGGCCGCACGGCCCCGATCTGCGTCTTCGTGCGGTTCGACAGCGTGCAGCTCCGCGACGCGCACGGGCGCCCGCGATCCTTTTTCCCGGGGGACGACGTGCGCGGGGACTGGGTGCCTATATTCCGCAAGACGGTGGCGTCGACGGTGGAGGAGGGCCTGGCACGGTCGAACTTCCCGCTGCAGTTGGCGTGGGCGCTGACACACTGAAAGGCCCAGGGCATGACGCTGGAGCGGGTGAGGGTGCACTTGTCCGCGAGGACGGCGGGCGCCCCGGGTATCGGGTTCGTGGCGTGCACGCGTGTGCGGCATCCGTGGGATATTGTCTTCGAGGAAAACCTGCCGGAGTACGAGGCGTTCATGCGAGTTCGTCGCACGCGCGCGTTTCGCGAGCGCCGGCGCTACGAGCTGCGCTGCGAGGCTCGCGCGTCCAGGACGTTGCGGCGGCACGGGTGCTGCCGGGCGGACGCGTGGGCGCCGGTCGAGCAGGACGCTGCGGCTGTGCTGATGGAGGGCCTTCGGGTGGTGGGGGAGGAGCGGCGCGCCGGGCTGCAGGGGTTCAGTGCACGGGGCGTGTGCAGGTCGGTGGACGGCGACACGTGGCTGTGGGGAGACGAGTTGCCGGACTATGACGGCCTCCTCGCGACCGTGGTCGAGCGGGAGGCGCGCGGAGATCAGGGTCGGCGACGTTTGCTGCTGTCCGCGGCGCAGAGGCTTCTGGACAACGTGCGCGTGAGGGAGCTCAGCGGGTCGGAGCGCGTCGACGCGGAGGCTCTCCTTGTGCGCCTGGGTGTTGCGCGGGCGGCCGTCGGCCGCGATGGGGGCTTTGGGCGGGTGGACGGCGCGCTGTGCGAGGGCGCCCTTCGCGATGCTGCGCGCGAGGTTGCGGGGGGGTGCGATGAACGGGAGGTTCAGCTGGGCGAGCTGGCGACGGGGATGCTTCGGCGGCAGGACGTGTTGGGGTACTGGGACGGCAGGGTGGAGGACGCCCTCTCGCCGGAGATGCGGCCTCTGCACATGTCCGCGGTGAAGGAGGCTCTGGGAGCATTGATTCCGGCCGCGCTTCACGGGAGTCTGGATCGGTTCGTGGCGGCGCAGAAGGACGTTGCGGGGTTGGGGGGGGGCGAGCTACTTGCTCATGGACCGCTACAGGGTGAACGTGCGGTCGGAGGATGCTTTGCGCCGCGGCCGGTTCACGGAGGACGTCCTGGAGTTTTTCCTGAAGGTGTTGCAGCGGATCTGCGGCGTCCTGGCGCTGCCCGTCGCGGTGGCGAGCAAGACGGTCGGTCTGCATGCCGGGCGGGCGGAGTCCGCGGAGCAGTTCAGGAAGATCATGGGCGGCTGGAAGAAGGTGTGGAATCGAGCGGATGTGGCGGGGAAGAAGGAGCTGGTGTTGCCTGTCGCGGTGGACGAGAAGGGGCGCGACTGGTTCTGCGTGTCCGTGAGGTCTGCGTCAGAGGGAGAAGTCCTGGGGCGCGCAGAGCGCTTTGTCGTCCGCGTGTACGATGAAATGCGACGGCAGGGTGCCGCGCGTCGAGTGGCCTTGAACTTGGACGCGTTGGTGCGCGGACCCGCCTCGGCGGTGGCGGGCCAGGCGGGGCCGGAGACGATCGTGGAGGAGGGGGTTCCCGAGTGCCGGGTGTCTCAGCAGCGCTGCCTCTGCGCGTTCGGGGTCTTGCTCTCTCTGGTGTCCAGGGCTGCCGGGGAGAGAGGCTTGGACGTGGCGTCGAAGACGTTCGTGCCAGACGCGGGCCAGGCGGTGGCGGCAGTCTTCGCGGGCTTTCGGACGCGTCTGCGGCAGGAGGGCGCTTCGGATGTTTCTGTTCTGTTGGTTGAGGTGGACGCGTGCAGGGCGGTGCTGCGGTCGCTGGGCCACGCGCCGTCGCCGGTGCGCAGGGGCGGCGAGGCCGAGGGGGAGGGCGCGGAAGCAGCGGCCGGCAGCGTCTCCGGGGGGCGGACTTCTGCTCTGGAGCGGGGCCGCCGCGACGGGGCGACCGCGGGGGTGCGGCTGCGCGTGGGCACGTGGAACGTGGCCGGCGGGTCTTGGTCGGCGCAGGCTCCTTCCAGGTATGGGGGGAGAGATCAGAGGGCAGCCTTGGTTGCCGAGATCTTGGGGTGGCGGAGGGCCTTCGGCTGCGACGTTGTGGCGCTGCAGAAGTGCGAGGGGGCGGGCGCGATGGGCGAGCTGCTCGACCAGTGCCAGTTCTTGGGCGCCACGCCGGCAGCGGCGACGCGGGGGTACGTCCACTTGTACGTTCGCAGGGGCATGGAGGCGGAGCGGCTGTTGTGTGAGGCTTCCTCGGCTGCTGGCGTGGCTGCGCGCGTCAGGGTGGCGCCGGGCCGAGGCGGTGCCGCGGCGGACGAGGTCTGCGTCTTGGCAGTGCATTTGCCTGCCGGGGACAGGGCGGCGCAGCGCGCTGCCGCGCTGGGAGAGGCGCTGCGGTCGCTGGACGAGAGCGGGGCGGAGCGTGCCAGGGTCTTGGTCGTGGGCGACTTGAACGTGCGGGACGAAGAGGTCGCAGCGCTGTGCGAGGCTGAGGGCATGTGCGATGCCACGTGCGCTGGGAAGACCTGGGGCGTCAGGTGGAACAGGTTTTTCGCAGATCAGCAGTACAGCGGCCCCGGGTTTCGTTTTGACCGCGCGATGTTCGGGGAGAAGTTGTTTGCCCGGGCGCATGTGATGGCGCGGGGGCCTGTCGCGTTCGAAGGCGTGCAGTTTTGCGCGTCCGACCACTTCGGGTTGATGGCGTACGTGGACGTGGCAGACGTCTTTGCGCTGCGAGGCAGGGGGCGCGCGGAGGCAGCCCGGGCGCGGCGCGGGGAGGTGTGTAGGGTCTGTGAGGTCGGCGGGGAGCGAGAGGCGCAGGAGGTCCGAGATCGCCGGCAGGCTGCCAGGCATCAGCAGAGGCTCGACAGGGAGAGGGCCGCGGAGAGGGACCGCGAGGCGTTTGCGCGGGGCCAGCAGAGGGCGGCTCGCGAGAGGGCACGCCGGAGGCAGGCGTTGCACGATGCGGCTTTCGGCAGGGAGTCGCTGTTCGATCAGGACTTCGTCGTCGAGGCGGAGGGGCTGGGCGAGGGTGTTCAGATCTCCGCGCCGTCTGCCATTGTCGTGCCGGGCGCTGAGGAGTGGCAAGACGGTGGATGGGGAGAGGTCGCCGGCGTACCCGTGGTGGGCATGGGGAATTTAGGGAACACGTGCTACGTCAACGGCGTCCTGCAGCTGCTCCTGCGGGTGTCGTCCGCGCACGAGGTCCTTTCGAGACATGGGCGAGACCAGTGCCCCAGGGCGTTGCTTGGAGAGGATTGTGTCGTGTGCTTGTTGCGGGAAACGCTGGGGCAGGTCATGGCGGCGTCGCGCCGCGCAGGGGTGCGGAAGCCGAGGCTCGCGCAGGAGAGGGCGGCGGTGGACGAGCGGTACGGCGATGACCAGCAGTGGGACGCCAGCGAGTTCTTTGGGCATTGGTTCCACAGAGCTCGTCAGGTTCGGAAGTCGGGCGAGGGCTCGGAGACACGTGGCTGCGAAAACATAATCAGGGAAGTTGTATTTTGCTGGAGGGAAATTCGTTTCACTGATTGTATACTGCGTTATGTTTATTTTTTGTGTGTGTGTGTGTGTGTGTTTGTTTATTTGTGTTTTTGCTTTTGTGTTGCTTCTCTCTCGGAGATTGTTTTAGCGGCCACGGGATCGGCAGCCTTGGTTGGGGCTTCGGCAGGTGGAGCTGGATGCCGGTCGGTGCGTGCCGTGGGGCGATGGATGGCTCCATGGGCAGGACGGCTTCCAGGTTACGCACTGGGATCGCCTGTTCAGGAGTGTGACAGACACGCGCTCGCGGTGCCGCTCGTGTGGTCTTTGCCGTGCCAGGTACGGGTCGGCCGAGATGGTGTGCGTGGCCACGCCCGAGGACAGGAGGGTGTCGTCGACGACCTCCGAGCTGTATCTGCGCGCGTGCGGGCCCGAGGTGCAGGAGGAGGCGGATCGCCTCGAGTGCCCGAGGTGTGAGTCCCGGCAGGTGCACGTGCTGCAATGGCGGGTGCGCGAGCCGCCGACGGTGCTCTTCGCGCGGGTGATCCGTCCGGTGGCGGCGGGGGGCCAGGGCGTATTGCTGCGCCGGCGCGTGGACGTGGAGGAGGAGATCCAGCTGCCGGGGTTTCCGCGCATGGTGCTGGCGGGGGTGCTTTTTCACAACGGGGCCACGGTGCGTTCTGGGCACTACACGTCCATGTGCCGCGGGCCGGGCGGTATGTTTTGGATGTACAATGACGCGAAGGTTCAGGCGGTGCAGGGCGGGGTGGGGGAGCAGAAGCCGGCGCAGGTGCACCTCATGGTGTATGTAAACCCGCGCGGCGGGGCGGTGTGGGAAGGGCTCGCGCGGGGCGGTGCGGCTCGCGCAGGGGCGGCTCTGGATGGCGGGCATGCAGGCATGCATGCAGTCGCATGCGGCTTATGAGTGCCGTGTGCGGGCGTGAGCGGCCTGCTCCTTGCCGATGGGCTTGAACGGATGGACCGAGTAGGCGCTGCTGGAGGCGCGCGTTGGCATTGCCCCGGGGCGCGCTCGCACGCTGGAGGCGCACGTGGCCTGGTGGGCGGCCATCCTGGCGGCGCAGGGCTTGTGTTCCGGGAGCTCTAAGGCCCACGCTCGCCGCGCTATGAGAAAAAAAGGTGTTGCCTGGTTCTGGGGTTCTTGGAGTTTCTCAGGGGTGAGGGGGGGCGTCTCTGTGTGGCATGTGGAGTTGTCGTGCGAGTGGCAGGTCGCTTTGATGTTCCTCGTCGGTGCTTTATCGTCGCCGTTTTCCCTACTCGCCCCGTCGTCGCCCGCGCTGCTGATCGCTCAGCGCGTCGCCACCTTGCCTTGGGTTCCCATGTGGTTGAGGCCCCGCAAGGATCTATGGGTAAGTTGCGGGTCTCCCGTTTCCCAACAGGGTGCGATGCCTGAGGGCACGCGGCGGCCGCGTCGGTCCCGCGTCGGTCGCCGGCATTGGTTGACGGCGCCCCGAAGCAGGCCACGACAGGCTAATGGAGGTCCCGAAGAGGGCCCTAGAAGGTCCCAAGAGGCCCCGAAGACGCCCAAGCTGCCGTCAAGACGGCCGACGAGGACTCCAACACGCTCCAGGACGGACTCAAGAGGCTCCCCAAGAGAGCCCTGGGAGGCAAGATTCACTAATGTTCCGATGGTCTCTGAAGGATTTAGGCGTTCTTGCTTCCCCCGCTTCCCAGCGCTCCCTCTCGGCCTCGCTCGGAGGCCCTTCAGATCGCTCCAAGACGGGCCACGAGGCCCCGAAGAGGGCCCCAAGACGGCCCAGGAGGCTCCCCAGACAACCCAACTGTGCCCCAAGAGCTCCCCAAGAGAGGGCCCAGAGGGGGACCGCCAACCGATATTTCGAGGTCTCTGGCCCTAGAGGCCGCCTGGAGGCCCCCAGAGGCCACCAAGAGGGCCACGGTAGCCAGTTCGCGGGGGCGTTGTTCGTGGCTCTCTGTGTCGCTTCTTCTTCCTCTTACTGTCCGTTTGCGTCATCATGGCACGTTCGCGCGCCTCGCAGCATTTGGGTTCGACGCGCCCGGTCTGTTGACGAGCGCGCGCGGGGACGAGGCGAGGCAGATCTGGTCTTGGGGATCGAATGCAATCCAGCCCAGGGCGTGCGGGAGAGGTCGGGGTCGTCGTCGCTGTCGTCGTGCGTGGCCGCTGCGCGGTTGTTGCGTCGTGCCCGTTAGAGTTTCGCGGTTCGGTCCTTTGCAGGGTCATGGCGCCCAAGAGGAAGCCCGAGCAGGCGCGGCCGGTTGGGCTGGAGAGGCTGGACGCCAGCATGCGGAACGCGTGCGTCGACGTGCAGGTGTTGGGCGTGGCGTGCTCGGCGGTTCGGGATCGCCTGTGGGCGGCGGGATGGGATGGGGTCGGGAATGGGAGGGGGGGTTTGTAGGGTGGGGCGGTAGCTCCATGTGGCGGCGCGCGCTCGTTTCCTCCGATCCTGGGCGGGGGCAGGTTAGGTATCCAGCGGAGCGGCCGTCGGCCGGTCGTCAGTGGACCTCTGGCCTTTGCTGCGTGCGGGCGCTTGCACGGTCCGGTCACTGAGGCGGTGGAGACCTTTACGTTCATCGACGAGGAAGATGGGAAGACGGAGCGCGTGTACGGGGTCGCTGCCGGATTTGCCCTTGGCCGGGTGGTGTCGATGACGTTCTTCGGCGAGGCGGTGGACGAGATGCGTTCGGCGTGCGTGGACGTGCCTGTGGCGCTGCGTCTGCGTGGGGGCATGGTGGGGATACGTCGGTGCCCTGGCGGCTTGTTCTTTGCTTCGTTCGCTTCGGCCTGTCTCTATCGTCGCGTTGTGGTGGTTGTGATGTGGTGGTCGCGATCTGCGTGTGTCGCTCTGCTTGCATCGGTGTTGCGGTCGGATCTTCTTGCTCGTTTCGGGGGGGATCGTTTGGGGAGGGGCGCGGGCAATGTTTCTTTCGTTCGCGCGAGTTCCCATTATGAGGGGCACCCGCGTGCGCGCGGGGGACGTTGCCCGCGCGATCGGGGCAGGGTTCGCTGGAGGTCACGAGACGTCCCTGTCGACGATCATGTACGACATGACGTTCGACAGGAAGTTCGGTGTGCAGAAGTTGGCGGCTGGCGCCATCGGGCTTGGGGACGTGCCCGCGTGCGTGGCGACCTCGGGCGGGCGCCCGGGGCACGTGGCGGGCGCGGTGAGCAAGGTCGGTGAGATCAAGCACGTCCACCGCAGCATTGTGACGAAGGACCGGGGCGGTGGGGACCGGAGCGTCGAGGTGATGGAGGTGGAGGTTGCGGTCGAGTCTCCGACGGCGTGCGTCCTTGCTGTGAACGTGCGGGGCAAGGGCGCGCGCGTGCTGCGCGGCGGTGTCTTGGAGCGGGTGCCGCCGTATCCGGTGATGGTGCACGGCTTGTCTTTGCGGCCGGCGGGGGAGGGGAAGCTGAAGGCGACGCTGAGGGGCGGCGGGGCCATTCGGGCCATGGAGGCTCCGGAGATGGTGCGCTGGTACGAGTCCCTGGAGTTGGCGACTCGGGTGTATCGGGCGCCGCCCTTGGCCGATGCCGTGGCCGTGACTGGCGTTGGGTTTCGCAGCTTGCACGAGGCCATCGAGGGCGGCAATGCGGAGGAGGTGCACCACGTGAAGGTGGCGGCGTCGTTGGTGGACGTTTACCGCAAGAGAGCGCCTTTCTACGAAGCGTGTTTGGAGAAGACGGTGGAGGGGCGGACGTGCCACACCAAGACGGCGGCGGGCTTCTGCTGGCGGTGCGACAAGGAGGTGGCGAATACGGAGCCGTTCATGTTCGCGCGTGTGCGGTTGCTCTTTGAAGATGGGGCGATGGCATGGGTGACCGTCTTGGGGGCTTCGGGGGAGCAGCTCCTCGGCGTTTCGGCGCAGCACGTGGCGGAGTTGGAGAGCGCGTCCGTCAGCGGTGGTGATGCGGCGCGGAAGAACCTGGACGGCGTCGTGAGGGGGGCGAGGGAGGTCAAGTGGACGGTTGGGGTGAAGTTGGAGGGGTACGAGACGGATGATGGGGTGGTGGCGAGTGCGACCGTCTTCGAGGTGAAGACGGTGCTCAAGCGTTCGGCGGCGGATGCGCTGGGAGGTGCCGGCGTGAGCACGGGGGCGGCGCCGGGGGCCGATGGCCAGGCGGTGTCTCCGAGCGCGGCGTCGGCCTCGGGGGGTCGCGGCGATCTATTCGGGTTCGGCGGCGCCGAGGACGGCGGCGGGTTCGGGTTCGGAGGCGGCCCCCCTGGCGAGGCGGCGGGGTCTGGCGCGGCGGCAGCCTCGGCGGCTGGTGGCGATGGGGCGCCGCAGCAGGAGGATGACGCGGAGGAGTGAGCGGATGGAGCCGCGGGGCCGCAGTTTTGATCCATTCGACCGCCCTGGCGAGACGGCGGGGCCGGGGAGGGCGGCAACCTCGGCGGCTGGTGACGATGAGGTGGCGCAGGAGAAGGATTGGGCCGCGGGGCCGCCGTCGGGCCGCAGTTTTCAATTATTTGAAGAGGATAAGGTCGGGGGGGCGGTCTGGGCAGAGTGGTTTTTCGGAGCTAACTCAGGTTTGTTCGGGTTCAGATTGTCTTGGAGCCCTCTGGGGATGTTCGGTGGGCTGTGTTGGGTGCTTCTTCGGTTGTCTCTGAGCAGTTTTGGAGGCATCTTGGAATGTCTTGGAGCGTCGGTTAGCCGACAGCGCGAGAACCATGAATAGGTGCAACAGCCAATGGAACAGTTATCGGAGGTGAGGGGGGGAGATCGAAGTGGAACGGAGAGCCCCCCTACCGGGAAATGGATTTCGGTTTCGTGTTCGTGCGTGCCGTGCGGGCGAGGCGAAGCTGCGTGGGCGGGCGATAGAAAGTCTCCTGTGGCTGAGGCGCGGCTGGAGCAAAAGAACCTTGACCGGGCGGCCGGTGCCCCGCGCGGTGTCCCGCCGGTGTCCCGCTGGCGTCCAGTGTGGCTGAGGCGCGGCCGGAGGGAAAAAACCTTGACCAGGCAGCTGGTGCCGCGCGGTGTCCCGCCGGTGTCCCGCCGGTGTTCCGTCGGTGTCCCGTCCGTGTCCCGATGATGATGTGGATTCCCGTCGGTGTCCCGATGATGATGATGATGATGACGGTGATGATGATGGTGATGGTGGTGATGATGATGGTGATGTTGCTGTTGGTGATGATGATGATGATGTTGATGTTGATGATGATGATGATGATCATGATGCTGATCGGATGATGAGGATGGTGTCCCGATGATGATAATGCTGTTGATGGTGATTCCGATGATGATGATGATGATGATGGTGTCCCGATGATGAGGACGATGCTGATCATGATGGTTCTGTTGATGATGATGATAACGATGATGATGTCGCGCCGATGATGATGATGACGATGGTGATGATGATGATTATGTTGATGGTGTCCCGATGATGATGATGATGATGATGATGGTGTTCCGATGATGATGGTGATGATGATGATGTTGATGATAATTATGATGTTGAGGAAGATGGTGTCCCGATGATGATAATGATAATGATGATGTTGATGATGATGGTGATGTTGCCCCAGCTTGCCGCCCCGCTGCGCGGCCGAGCTGGGCGACGAACCATGCGGGGTCACCTTCACGCGTAAGTTGCACGAGTAAGGTTGCGAGCTAAGTGCCCTCGTTTCCACGCGGCGGGCCGCGGGGCGGCCCGTCGGCCCGCGAGAGACACGTGAGTCGCTCTGTGTTTTGAAGCACCTCTGTGTTTTCGTCGCCCAATTGCGTCCTGGCGCAGCGGCGCTAACATTCAACATCCTTAGGCTCTCTGGCCAAACGCTGCCTTCTCCTCCTTGCTTCTTCTCCTCC